AAAAAAGGTTCCCCAATGCTGGGGGGAAGCCCTCAGCCTCAGGGGCTGGATCCAGGCAAGCCGGGGGGAACAGCCAGCCCCCGGGCCTGAGGTTCCCCACCCCAAAACCGATGAGAGTCCCACTCGCTAGGGCTGATTTCAATGCCATTTTTTTTCCACTGGCAAATGCCAATTTGTCTCAGAGACAGGCCGGGTGGAAAAAAAAAGGTTCCCCAATGCTGGGGGGAAGCCCTCAGCCTCAGGGGCTGGATCCAGGCAAGCCGGGGGGAACAGCCAGCCCCCGGGCCTGAGGTTCCCCACCCCAAAACCGATGAGAGTCCCACTCGCTAGGGCTGATTTCAATGCCATTTTTTTTCCACTGGCAAATGCCAATTTGTCTCAGAGACAGGCCGGGTGGAAAGACATCGGTCCGTTCCTCTGGGGCAGCCGAGGGGCCAGGACTCACCTGGGGCGGCGGCGTGGGATACTCAAGTCCTTGCTCATCCAGCTGAGTGCCTTGGCCGTGGGGCGATCCTGGGTGTGTGGGGGGCATCTCACTCACTCCTGTTTATGTGGGGAGGAGAATGCACATTTTTCAGAGCTCTTGAGGGTTTTTTTCCCCATCTGGAAAACCCCCAAGAATTCTTGTTTCCCAGCGTGAACGCTCCCAGGTCCTTCCGGGATAAGAACCAGGAACTCGGAGCTTCTGTGGGGTAAGTCTCTCTGTCCCCTCTGGCAGAGAAAAGTCTCAACAAGCAGAGGTTCATGCTGTGAGGTCCTCCCAAGTCAATCCCCTCAATCCAGCCAAAGGCGTTGTCCCCTCTGGAGGTCAGACACCCAACTTGACGTGCGTTTGCCCCATGAAAGCTCATGATTCTATATATTGTTCAGAGGGACGGCCATGTGAGTTTGTGACTTGAAACCCAATGAGTGCTCCAGGGCTACCTTAGGGTATGTCTACACTAGTTCAAACTAGGGTGGTAGTGTAGACATACCCTGAGAGACTAACAAAAAAAATATATAAACGCGTCAGGGGGTAGCCGAGTGAGTCTGTACAGGATAAACTTCAAAGACAACCAATAGTCTGGTAGCACTTTAAAGACTAACAAAATATGTAGATAGGATCATGGGCTTTTGTGGACAAAACTCACTTCCTCAGATAATGAGCTGGAGTAGAAATAACAGAAACCAAGTTATAACAAAAAAAAAAGGTACCTGTCAAGTGCAGGTCTGGTGCTAATGAGATTAATTAAACAGGCTGAAAGTGTCCTGTGCTTTGCTTTAGAGGAAAAAACAAGGTATTAAGGTCTTTATAGTGTGACATCCAGTTAATGTCTTTGTTCAAGCCTAGGGAAATGGTGGCAAATTTGCAGACGAATGTCAATTTCGCACTCTCTCTCTCTCTCTCTGTAATTGGCTGATGAAAACCCTTTGGAGAAAAATGGCTACTTTGAAATCCATGCTCTCTCTCTATTTATATTTGTATTTGTCTCTAAGACGCCACAGGACGACTTGGTTTTTAAAGTTACAGACTGACAGCTGTCCCTCTGAGACTTTCTGGATGTGGCTCGTTAGTGTCCTTTCTCCGTGGGGGCGCTATTCGGCACCCGCGTGGGGCTAGCTGTTGCAGCGGTCGTATCCCTTTAAGTCGGCCGTAAGCCTGCTGGTGGCGTTGGCTAGGTTTTAGAAGGCAGCCTGGCTGGCC